TGTGATCATTTTGGCGTATTGTTGAACCTGAGGTGGGGAATCAATGAATTTTAGTCAGCTGGGCATAATTTTGGGTACCCTGAAGAACATTTGTGGCTGGCATCTGAACTGGGGCAATCTTGTGGGACTGGGCCCTTAACTTATGGGACTTGTGCTCACTCTGGTTAGTTAGCGTCAGACTGAATTGTATTGCAGCTCTTGCAGGAGAAGCGAAGAATTGACTGTTACTTGGAAAACCAGGCAAAGGCTCCATATCAATACCTGTGGTGTTCGGGCCAAAAGCGCCTGGAAAGAAATCTGTACGAGAAGGACAGTCTAGAAAATAACTGGCCTGTATTCTTCTAAAAGACATGTCAATGGGATAAAGACACACTGAGAAACTATTCCACAGTTAAAGGAGACTAAACTGATATGACAAGTAGATGCATTATGTAATCCTCGATTAGACCCTTGATCAGAGGAAGAAATTAACTATAAAGGACATTAATGGGACAATTGACTAAATTTGACTATGGACTGTTAGCTTAGTATGTATCATAAAATTTCCTGGTTTTGATAAATATATTATAATTGCATAGGAGAATATTGTTAATAAATAGACACTGAAATAGTAAAATTGTCTCCAACTTATCAAATAGTTCAGAATAAAAATATGCATATATTACTTAAATGCAGTGTGTGTGTGTGTGTGTGTGTGTGTGTGTGTGTGTGTGTGTGTGTGTATGTGTATCGAGAGAGAGAGAGAGAGAGAGAGAGAAGAAAAAAAAATGATAAAGCAAAGAGGGCAAACCATAGAACTGGAGAACCTGGGTAAAGGGTACATGGAAGACTCTTGTATTGGTCTTCCAATTTTTCTCTAAGTCTGAAATTACATAAAAATAAAAATAGTGGAAACAACACAGTAGACTTGCCAAATCATAGGCTGGTTTTCTTCCACAGAGTGGTCCTTTTAAAACAATGCCTAAAGATTATTAGAACATTGAACAAAAGCAGCTATAGCAGTTCCCAAATGATGTTCCCTGGGACACAATTACACCATAACAAATTAGTAGATTTATCAAAATTAAAGTTGCTAGTGCTATTTCTTTCTCCTACTAAAAGTGATTTTGGAAATAATTCTATTCACCAGAAATTCCTAAGAGCTCATATTTCTTTAGAAAAATATCTTGGTTAAGTACTTAAAGTAGAAAATGAGACCAGCAAGATGAGATATGGTAAAGATCTAATTATCTGGAGAAGAATGAAGAGGGAGGAATGAAGCAGGGGTGGGAAGAAAAGCAGCTGTAAAGGCCCCACGAGTGTTGATGTGGCCCTGGCCTAGAACCCTCCACACATCCCCCCGTAGAAGTCATGGCACACATGTGGTGGCTGTCCTGTGGGAACAGAAGAAAGGTCCAAGTTTTGCACTGCAGTTGACTTGCAAGAAAGAGGGGTGCTTTGACAATGTCATTTCCTTTGACAGGAAATCTTGGGAGGCTTAAGGCTTCTACTGTATATGGAGCTAGGGTTTCAAGACAATCTGTGATGGAATTTTAAGTGCTAACTGGAGAAAGCTAAGGGATGCCCAAACAGCTGGCAAACATTATTTCTGGATGTGCTTCTGTGCAGATATCTCCCCAAGAGATCAGCATTTCAATCAACAGATTGATCATCTTCACCAATGCAGGTAGGTGTCATCCAATCCAATAAGGGCCTGAATAGAACAAAATGGCAGAGGAAGGGCAAACTGGCTCTCTCTGCTTGAGCTGAGACATCTATTTTCTCCTGCCCTCCTGCCATCTACCAGACTTTTGGGCAAGACCTACACTGACCCCTCAATTCTGAGGCCTTCAGACTCTGAATTACACCAGCAGTTCTCCAGCTATAGATGCTGGGCAGAGTGCCAGAACTTCTATGCTTCCATCATCAATGAGTTAATCCCTCTAATAAACCTCCTCTTACACATCCATATATCCTACTGGCTCTGTTTCTCTGAAGAATCCTGACTAATACACAGTCCAATACAGATATTGGATGAAATCTAGTTTTCATATATAAGGGAAATGCCAAACACAATTGTATAAACAGTTGTTCTGATTATTATGTGCTAATATCTTATTATTAATAAATGCTGCGCCATATTCAAAAAAGTTGCATGAATGATGGACCAATGCAGGAGGAGAAGACATGTGACTGAACATCAATATGTGGGCAGCATTTACCAACACATCCTTTCACTAGTATTTGTTGTCTAATTGAGAATCACTGGTTTAAATGGTGGAATCTGTTTTATATTTTAAATATATGAATGCATTGTTTTATTTGTAATAAAATAGTTGAATCCCCAGATTTACGTCATTGTGTCACAAATTTTTCAAAGTGAATCAAACACTGACCATTTCTTACAACAGATTTATCTATAGGACTTATTTTTTATTCTTAGCTGCAATATGAGATGATTATATTTTATGGCCACTTCTTGGTTTTCCACTGCTACGTTACAACTTTTAAAGTGTTCTGTGGTCAAATAAGCTTAAGAAATACTGCCGTAGGGTGTCATTTTTACAGATGCATGTTTAAAGAGGCAGAACTCAGAAAATGTATTTTCATATTCTGGCTATTTTTTCAAAAGGCTGTGAGACCGTATTTTGATCATTCAAATAATGGGTGAGGCTAAGTAATGGATTATCCATTAGTCAACTGACTTCCACTGTTAACACCAACGTATTGTATGTCCCAGATCAACCCCACAACTTCTAATGAAATTCCTGGGGCACAAATAACTCTTGCAAGGCCACTGTAAGCACGGGTCCAGGGCGCCAAGGGCGAAGCTGCAACAGGAGAAACCCACAGGCTCAGAGGCTCCAGCGTGAGAGCACTGCCTGTCCAAGACACTGGGCATCTTTTAGACAGAGGTACAATGATTGAGTCATTACTAAGTGCAAAACAAAAGTTAAATTATCAAAACTTTAAAGATGGTACACAGATTAAACAAAATGCATATTAGTGAAGATATTCTCAGGGCTAGAGAAGCTTAGAACCACACAGATGAAGGCTTTCTCAGCAAAGCTGAAGCATCTTTACGGTCCTACTGTACTTGGGACTATAGTGCCTTTGAAAAGCAGAAACCCAGCTGTCACCTAAGACAGGAAGGGAATTCTGCAAATTTGGCAGCAATCCTTCAGCTGTGTCCTTAATACCCTTTCTGGAGTCTGCTATGGTGAGACATTACTACAGAGCTCAAAGAGGTCACAGAGATAGCTCATGAAGAATCAAAATTTAATGACTACTTGTATAGAATAGATCTTGGAAAATCTCTCAGAATGTAACCTACCTGGACTATCACATCTCTCCCCAAATCCCTGCCCTTAGTATTCCTACCCAGTTACCATTATTTATTCACCCAACTTCAAATCTGAGTCATCTTCAACCCTTCTTTTCCCCTCTCACTTCATCTTCTTCCTATTAGTTCCCAACTCCAGTAAAATTCAACTTCTTTATTGGAAATCTACTCCCTCCTTTTGACCTTCAAGGCCAGTACCTAGGTTCAGGTCCTTATTTCTTCATACTAATAAATAATATATCCTTCCCAGCCTCCACTGTTTTCTACTTTAATTAATTTATAACCAGTGTAAAATCCATCTTTCTAAAGCACAGCCTGAATCATATGGATTCTCCTTTCAAACTATCTTCAATTATTTCTCGTAGGTCTGGATTGCCACAGAGTCCTCAGTCTGGCATTCAAGACCCTATTAATCTCAGGGCTCTGCTCCCATGGCTCTTCAGTGTGTTCACTGACTAATACCCACACATTTCCATACAAGTGCCACATACAAATCCAAATTCCCTGTCTCCTCTTCAAACTTCCTTTTACATCTGGATCTCACTATGCATACAAATCAAATTATTCAAATCCTAATCTATTTTCTGGGGTCCATATCAAGCATTGCTTCTTCCTCCAAGAAATGTTTCTTCATCTTCCCAACTATATGCCATCTCATTTTTCCCTGAACCTACCACATTTTTGTTGGCATCTATTAGAATCTGCTTTCTATTCTACTTATCTATCATATCTACTATAATTTTTACTTAATCAATATTTAATAAGACTTGAAGATGTGCCAGACATTGTATTAGATATCAGGAACACAGGGGTGAATAAAACAGCCTTGACTGTTCACATTACACAGAAGTGCTGTGAGCCAGGATTACCCCAGAACTTCAATAGTGTCCCATATGGCAGGTAGCTAGAACCGTTCTATCAGCTAGAAAATACCTCATAAACACGCAAAGTGTCATTCAACTAAGATGCTTTGTTTTAAAACCTGTAATTCCACTAATAAAAAAAATCATCTTATGAGGGAAGTTTGAAGAATCATAAACTGTAATCTTTAAGTCCATAATTGAAGATCTGTATATAACAATAGTAAAAGTAGAAGAAATACCCATCTTTCCACTGAAATATTTTAGAGCAACACTTTGCATTTTTTGAAGACATCCATAAGTTTATTTATTTTAAAAATAAAACTGGTGAAAGAAATCATAGAAAGAAAAAAAGTCAGGCTTTGGTGTCAATGGGACTGCGAATGAATGAATATGATGAATTAATTAATTAAAAAGATTGTGGGTTTGGTTTTTTTCATAGTCTTTGGACCTATCATCTTAGAATCTCAGGAAAATTCTCAGAAGTTTGTGCAGATAGTGCAGATAATTATATGCACAGTGATCAGCGAAAAAGATGAGAAAATACAACCATGAGAGGAGCTAAATTAAAAACAGTTAAGACTTCTCTCAGGCCCATATCCTTGACTCTACCACCAGTAATGAACCACCAGTGATGAAGAAATGGGCAAGTTCTTACCATACATTCCAGTCTGAAGTAAGTATGCAAATTATTGCATCGCAGTTATCCTGTTTCACCTCTGTCTGAGATATCCCCACCATTCATAGTAGCTGTCCAGTGCCCCACCCATGTTCTTCTTCCCATGCCCCCCACTCTGTTGTAATGGTTCCCTACTTACCTCATATGCGTCTTTGATGTTCAAGGGCTCACCGAGCGCCGCCACATGTCCCACAATGCCTTTGTTCCATTCTAAGCGAATACAGTTATTGGATGCTTCCTCCAGTGTTGAACCTTCTGCAACATCAAAGAGGCGGCTGATGAGAAACTTATCATGGGAGCTGTCCTCACAGACGAGAAACAGGGAATAGCGGTCAGCAGAGATGAGTCCATGGATATGCAAGAATATTTTGTGGCATAAGGCTGTGACATCCAGATGGCTAGAAATATCTTTCACTAATTCCAAGAGTCTTGAGCACTGGTCCCCTTCATCATTATCAAACTTTGGCAGGTTTAAAGGCATCTGCTCCTTCTTTTCTGAGTCAGAGAGGAAACTCACAGTTCCCTCAGAATCCTTGACAACAATGGGTCTAAGAGGCCGGTCAAATTCGGAGGCAGAGATTTTCCGGGTTGGTGTCCCAGGGACACTGCTATCTGCAAGGGGACTCTGCAGCGAGAGGCAAGAGCAAGATTCCGTGTGGCCTCTGCTGCCTTCCTTGCATATGGGGATGGTGTGAACTCTCTCAGCAAACCATGCATTGACCATTTCTCTGCAAACAGAAAGTGCAGACATATCAAATATTTGAGACAGAAAGGTGTTACCCCTGAAAACTGCTCAAAATTCTCGTATGGTAAACTGTATTTTCAGACACCTGATTTACAATACATCAAAAGCATCAAGTCTGCTTCTCAAAATCGGTTTGTATTAAAGGACACTAAATGACAGTAATGTTGGGAAAACATAAATATGGAAATTTATTTGCTGTTTAAAACATACAACATGTTCTGAAGTTAAATATTTGAAAATTTCTGACAGATACTTGTCTAAATTTGACTAGCTAACATACTTACTTTTAGATAGTTTTATCTATATTGCTATACATAGATTCGATGTAGAAGGTGAAAGAAAAATACAATTTAATCTGCTATGTAGAAAGATTATGGACTTCTGTAAATGTATGCTAATAATGCTTGTTCAATAATAATAGAAATGAGCTCTTCTTCTAGATTACTTCTGGCATAAAGGAAGAAAACTAAAAAGTAGGCAATATCTAATTCAAAGAGTAATAGCTAACAACATACAATGCAAAAATTTGACTTTTTTTAAAACTCAGATTTGCCCTCAAAAAACAAAAACTTGCTACTACTGAGGATATTTAAAAGAGTTTGCCTATCATAAGGGCATCACAATCTCCAGTCTACAATTACATATCAATTATTTTCACCAAATGGCCAGGATAAAAAAAAATGTTTGACAATGCACTATTTTGGAAAGTCGTCTTGGCATACTAAAAGCTGGTATCACTCTTTGGATGGCAAATAGGCTATATCTAACAAATTTTAAATGCATTTATCCTGGTTGCAGAGATTTTACATATGTAGCAAAAGATACACCAGAGTATGTCCTGCAGCAGTGTTACAGCAAAGACAGGAAGGAATCTAATGCCACCAATAGAAGGCTGGTTAAATACATCCACATTTATAAAATGGAAAACTAAGCAGACACTGAAAAATGGTCATATGAACTGCTATGAATAATCTCCACAATTTATTAAGTGGAAAAAGAAGAACACAGAGTGAAAAAGAAGAGGATGTCTTATTTCTGAGTCTTTACTAAGTTATTTATAAGAAGTTCCCTTAATTATTTCATTTTGAAAAGCAAAGTATTATTTGGTAAATATATATTATTCTAAAATAGTATCAGCCTAGAGTGGAATGGATAAAAAAAGTAACAAAGATATCATGAGAATGGCCTCATAATTTCAAGTGCTGGATATAGTTTTAAAAACTTTCTAAAAATCTGTTCAAAAAAGTAATGTAGTAGGTATATAAACAGATTAGAAACATATATGTACAGCAGAGAGTTTTTAAAAATGTAACTGTCTGACTGTTTTATAAATTCATGTTGTAGCTTAGAACCAACTTTCCTTTGAAAATAACGAACACTGATGAAAATAATTCTGTATCTACAAAATTAAAAAGCAATGAGGATGACATAGTCTGGGAAATGCTGTTATAAAGCCTCAAACCAAAGACACTGATGTCAAAAATGCATGTGAAGCTGTCAAAAATGAACAGGGACTCTGTTTGAATAAAACTGTTTTGTAACATGAGATATAGGAAGAAAAGCAGTCTGTCTAAATTAACAGATGTGATTTAAAATGATGCACATCTAACTTAAATTATTAAATCAATATAAAAATAGGCATTTGAACTATTTTAGTTATCAACCTAAAATTTAGCCCCAACTTATTTCTTGTCTTTTCATTGGAAAAGGGGGGTCAACTTTTTACTTTTTTAATCAAACCACTTATTTGACAGCTTCATGTGGACGTCTAACAGACTCGTGGTTAAACACTGAAAACAGTGAGACCAGAGCTCCTAAAGCCCTACCGGTCATCTAGCTCCAGTCTGGCTCCTGCCAGCTTTCCTCAAGAAATGGCACCATCACCTCCCCAGTTACTCAGACCAAACATCTAGGAATTACTCAACATTTCTGTTTCCTTCAACTCTCACAAACCAAGCCCTGTCAGCTTGACTCCCCAAACCTCCCACCCAATCTGTTTGTGTCTGCCTCGTGACTACCAGCCTGGCCCCAGCCCCATCACCTCACCTGGACTACAGCCACAGCCCCCTAAATGGACTCTCTGATATTATTCCCCTCCCTTCCAATCCATTCTCCTCACAGCAGCCAGAGTCATCTTGTAACAAAGTACAGCTTAACATCTAACTACTTGCTCTCTTACTGAGAATAAACCCCAAACTCTTTTAATCCCCTACCGCAGTTTCACTTGCCCATGCCGGCCTCCCCAGTGCTCTCAAGCCCACTGGGCTCTCACTGCCCCCAGGCTGGAATGCTCTCCCCTCACCTGCACCGGCTCCTCACAGCTTGCCTGTCTTCTACATCTCTGGTCAGACGGCCCTTCCCTGATCACTCCACCAAAAGTGGCCTCGAACACATCATGTTCTCACCCTACACTATCAGAACTCTTATTATCAGGTATTTTTCCTGTTTACTAAGCTGTTGTTGTATCATCATCTGTCTCCTCTGGCCAGATGTAAATTTATCAGAATTACTTGTCTCTCTTGTTCAGAATGGCATCCCTGTACTTAGAAATGCCTGTTCACTTAGTATGTCCTCAATAAGCATTTCTTGAGCGAAGTAAATGAATGATTAAACGAAGCCCTAAATTAACTGCATCAAAAGGGACATGACTCTTTCGAGGTCTGAATGTTGGAAATTTGTGACAGAAAATCAAAATTGTTGTTTAACTATTAGTACAAATCACCCCTTAGATTTAAGCCTCATAAGTGATAATGGTTAATTCATCCTCATATACCCTGCAGGGCCTAGGGTATGTCTCAGACAGTCAGTGCTCAAAAATTCCTTATTTTGTGTTTTTTACTGGTATATTTAATTGCTCATAGCTGTTTTATTTCTTGGAGAGATGAATTCAGTATTAAATGGCACAGGAAAGGCAGATCTAGTATATTTAGCATTCAATCAACAATTTTTATTAACTATACCACTCATGGGGGAAGGGCTTTCACACAACCACATTATTATCTGAGTTCCTGTAATTATATGCTTATGCAGGAAAACACATGCTGTCATAACATCAAAACAATCATTTATGAACCAACCAGAAATAAAAGTAAATCATCTCTTACACCTCTCTCTTCAGGCATTCCTTGATGTTTTGCAGCACGTGACCTACTATGTGGCTGTACAAAGTAAAGTGAGCCTTTCCTCTTAACATTAGTATCTATCCTCTTTCAGTGATTTTTTAATACCTCAGTTTTTATACATATCACCTGCAAACTGAAATTAAAATTCTTATAGAAAGATACAGAAATTCTACAAGTATAAAGGGATGTTGGAGAACTGTTCTATTATTACACAAGGCCATTGACGATTAAGGGTTATAGCCAATTAAAGATCAGCTGACAAGGATAATTACATTAAAGAAACTTGAAAAACGAATCCTATTCAAATAATTACATTCAGGATTAAGAAAAGCTCTTAAAAAACTGATGAAAGCTTCAAGTATAAATTCAAAAAACTCTTTTGGGGGAAAAAAAAGACTATGATCTTGCTATAAAAGTCAAACATGAAGTAAAGATAGTGTTTGTGGTACAGTTTTATCAGCAAATTAACTGTTTATTCTAAAACTAGCATGGAATTTTCATTATCTAAGTTTTTTAAAATCTAAGATCAATTTGTTTTCATAATCTGCTATCCTATTTTCTGTCTAAATGACCCAGAGAATACAGACTCTTTAAGGATGATGTCCTTTAAAAAAATCTGACTGAATCCCTTGTCTATGTTTCTCTGAAAACAAGTAATGTTTTATAAATCTAAAGCAAATCCCTGGAAAGAATGTATAATGTGTTCAAGAGAAGGGTCATGCTTAGGGCTGCTGGATTTAGCAAATAAAAATACAGGACACCCAGGTAAAACTGGGTTTCAGATAAACAATGGATAATGTTTTAGTATAAGTAGTATCTGAAATTCAAATTCAACTGGGGGTCCTGTAGTTCATCAGGCCGCCCTAGTCATTCTGTATTCTTTTTTTACAACTGAAATTGTTTGCAGGTAGACAGCAAAGAAAAGGCAGGTCTCATGAGGCATACTAATCAGTTCCAGGCTATCAAATCACTAATACTAATTTTATTGTCAAAAGGTCACAAAGGCCTACCACACGGGGACCCTGTGCATGGTAAACCGGCCTTCTGAGAGCTGGCAGACTAATAATTTACAGCATGAATGCCCCTTACATCAAGCTCTGTCATGTCACTCTCAACACCACACTATATATTTAACAAGAGCAAAACCAAGGTACAATCTACTTACAAAAGGGAGACTGACAAATTAATTGCTGAAAATCCTTGGTTCTTGGAACTACAAAGTACTGAGAGGCTATGTTTTTCAGCAGTGAGTCCAAAATTCTCATCTAATCTTAGCATTTGCTACTCACAGGGTGTGTGACCACTGGCAAATGACTTTCTTCTGAGTTTCAATTTCATCCTCTGTAAAACAGAAAATGCCACCAATTCTGACTTTTCAATGAAGTACAGGATGCTGACTGTCTTCAGCAGGGTATAAGCTGGCAGTCAGGAGATAATTCTAGATCTAGCTACCATACTACACAGTTGTGAGGTTGAATAAATGGCACCTTCTCTGGAGTTCAAGTTTTTCAGTTTTAAAAATGGGCAGCTGCAGTAACAGGCCATGAAGGCCCCATCACAGTTTACATTGTTAGTGGGCCAGGAGGTGATCACTGGGTTATCAACTCAATGTTTTTTTGGTCCTAAGCTTCCTCTTGTTTATTTTTTAATTGAGATATAGTTGATATAAGATATATTAGTGTACAATAGTGATTCAACAAATACACATGTTCTAAGTGAAGTTATCATCTGTCACCATACAAAGTTATTATAAAGTTATTGATGATATTCCCTGAGCTATACTTTTCATTCCTGTGACTTACTTATCTTACTATTGGAAGCTTGAACTTCTTTATCCCCTTCACCTGCTCTGTGCATCCCT